GAGACCCCATCTACTTTTAAGGCTAGGATTAAAACTTTCCTTTTTAACAGAGTTTACAGTTAGAGGTTATCCTGAGTTATCTCTACTGTTATGCTGCTGTAAGCTTAGACCACTGGAGGACATAGAGACCACCTTTTATCATTCTGTGTTTATCCTCCAATTCTGTAGTTTTTGTTGTTTCAACCCTGGTCTTCATTTTCTTTTATTCCCATCATGGTAGCTTAGTCTGGTCTGTTCCTTTTTGGCTGTGACACCATCTTTTAGAGAACTATCAGCTGGGTTGCTGCCATCAAAATCTTCAAGCTGTGTCTGTTTTTGCTCGGTGTTTAGTCCTTTTTCTCTCCTAGACATATCTATGGGTTTGGCTTTTAATGTGAGTAACTGTACAAGCGCTCTTTTATCCATGAAAACTGGATCAGAGCTAATACGTGTCTTTCCCAGACCAAAGCCACATGTGGAGGTAATTTACCGTTATCTTTTCTAACATAGAAAATTTTGGATCAGTGCTTCAATGTTTCCATTTGTATATCTAATTTTGTCTCCTTGAACTGCCAGTCCGCACTGAACCTGGTTCTGCTGGACGTTACTTTCTATTAAAACTGGGTCTTTCCTCTCCACTGTCGCTGCATGCATGCTCAGTGTGAGGGAGTATTGTAGAGTTAATGACAAAATGCAGGCAAATATCTACTGTCCAGGAAGGGTGAATCCAATCAGCTGGATTTGATTTGAAAACTTTTAATCAATCTGCCCGTATTATCTGATTGAATTGTCTCTGTAAAAATGTCTTGAGATGCCATGTGTTGAGAATTGGTGCTCTATAAATAAACTGAAGTTGAATACAGTCAATTATAATTCTAAAAAATATCCTAAACTGCAATTATAAACAGGTAAGTACACACATACATATAAACCTAAAATTAAAATTTAAAAATAATCCTCCAGGGAGCCTAGTAAAGGACACAGAACCACATTTAAGCCACTCACCCTCATGGGCTGCTCTCATAAAGGTGAACTGAATCTCTATAAGTTAAAGATGGAGTGAAAATAAATCCTAAAAGTACTTTCAGGAACATTATGTATGGTGATCCCAGCACAGAGAAGTACTCAGCAGAATTCAATAGTCCTTAGCTCGTTAGCAAAGCCATCGAGGATGGAAGAAAAATGACCTGGCCTCTTCTTCACATCACGGAGGGCCTTCTTAGAAAATGTGATACAAATGTGAGATTTACAGCAAGCGAAAACAAGATGGCTACATTTCCAACACCAGAAGGACAGAGGGAATCCATCGATGGAGGACTCAGGGTGATGTTTCCTTTGATGTTTTGGTAAAAATGTGTCAGTTAAAATGATTATAATCAAGTAATCAGAAAAAAATATATATTTTTAACCTATTTAATTGTCTAATAGATGTATGTATTGTAGAACATCCAGTATCAAAAGAAATAACTGCTGTGCTTTAGGATACTGTTTACACCTTATGTAATCTAGGGGGTCTCTGTCAATGATCAGGGTAATATGAGTGGGGTGAGGTTTGATTCGCAGCTTCGTCTTTCCCGTGTAAAACGTCTCATTAACGTCTCAAGTTAACGTTCAGGAACAGTCTGATCCCATCCAGACAAAATCAAACCTTAAGATAGGCTTTCATTTTAGTTGGCCGGGAGATTTGTTCTTTTGGGTTTTTTGCAAGTTGTCTTTCCATTTGTGATTCAATTTTGTTTTTATTTAAGCAGTTTAGCAAAGTTTTTAAATAAAATGCAGAAATATTTGAGTTAAAGGAAGGGGGAAAAAAAATAAATGGTTATTTCCTGATTGTTTATACCAGAATATCTGATTTTATGTGTAAATCTGGTTATGAAACAGAGAAAACATTTTAGGAATTTACGGAGGTTAAAAAAACTTTTCAGCTACAGTTTATAACTCTTTAGGATCTATCAAAGAGAATCTGTCTTGTTGGGGTTTTGGAAACAATAAAGAAAAACAACAAAACACAAATTTTCCTTTTGGTATTTGAAAGCTGAACTGAATGGTTGGCCTTTTCTAACCCGATCTCTTTAACTAGTTGTACTGGAAGAGAACCTTTGACATTTAGGATTGCATAACTAAAAATAGATGTTCAGCGACACGTTCTCAGGCATCTCAGACAGGATGAACAGACAGCAGATGTGCTGCAAATAACATATTTTGACAAACATGATATGTGAGGAGCCTCTGTCGAAGAAAAACTAAAAATGTGGTGTTTTGTAAACTGATACAGGCTATTAAAGGGTAACAACATAGGCAGAGGAAAGAGTATTTGGAGCATTAGGGCTAATATAGCACTGAAAGCTTTTTAAACCTTTCCACATTTTTTCATTCAGTATAACTTTAATTACTTTTGTTGGGATTTGATGCAATAAATCAACAACTTGAATGTTAAACAAATTAAAATGATATATAAGTTAAACATTAAAGCATGTTATGAGTTTGGGTCCATTTCTCTGGAGTCTATAACTTGGCATCTTTTAATGCTGTGGGTCTTTCCATGAAGATACTTAACTGTTTACTTATTCGCCTGTACAAAAACCTCACAAGCTTAGTCGGATTGCATAGAAAAAAGACATTAATTTTGATGTCTGATCATGGGACATGTGACACACAAATATAGTTTGATCTAAACCTGGTAATTTTAGCCGTAGCTGTATGTTTTGTGTTGATTTAGACAACTTTTATTGTCATTTTGTATACACAGTGTGTATACAAAAATACATTTTGTTTAGTACAGCTTTTCAGGCAGTCAATGAACATTTCCAATCCATAAAGTGCAGCAGTGATCAAATGTAAACAGTGTGGGAGAAAAAACATGATGCAAAAAAAGCACTAATATGGAAGTTCAGAGCATTATTATTAGTGTTGGACAGATACCAGTATCAGGTGGGGTCCCGATCCAGCACTAAAATGGTATCGGTATTGGCGAGTACCGACAAATAGGGCACCGATACCATTTTGAGAGCCAAAAGTTTATTCAACTATCGTTTCCCATTCCAGGAAGGCAATAAAAAGTTCTTCTGGATTCACTTTGCATTAGTCTTTTTCCTGCTTCACAAAGGTAGGCAGCAGCTTGACAAAGCCATGATGGCAATTATTTTACATCCAAGTAGTATGCAGTTCTTTATATATACACACACACATCAATTTGAAACATATACTGCATTGGCGCAACACTAAATAATATATACGGTGCAAATATGCAGTATTTTTGGTTTAGTGTTATGTGAAAAAACTTTCCCCACAATGGGGAAATTCACTCTCTGCATCCCTTGGAGAGCAGTGGGCTGCCATTGTGTGGTGCCCAGGGAGCAGTGGGGGGTTAAGGGTTTTACTCAGGAACTCAGAGGGGAGGCAGTGGGGAGTTTTTTTCAACAGTTCAGCATTCTGATGGCGATGGGGAAGAAACTGCTGCAGAATCTGTTGTTAAAGCGTTACACTAGTCTTAAGTAATTTTTTTCCCCTTGCAGGTTTTCTTGCTGGATTTCCCATCAGCTCTTGCTCACTAGCCTACTGAAGAAAAGCACAACCTGGTGGGGATGTTGTGTTCAGGGTGATTTGGTGTTAGTTTTCTGCAACATACAGCATGTAGGTCATAAATTGACAGTGCTGCACACAATGATTCCTACGCCTTTCCTTTAGCGTTTTTTATGCAGAAATAACTGCTTTCCTTACTGTCAATAATTGCTGTTATTGTTTGCTATAAACCTCTCCACATCTTTTCCCCTGACCTGTCTGCTCCGTTTGTTGGTGTGTAGGACACTGCTTGCTGTGCAGCAAACCTCTGCACAGCTAGTTTGAGGTGTAATTACAGAAAGATGGACCTTATTTAATGATTAGCAGCTATCCAAGTAAATGGTTTCTCTAATTTTCATACATCAGTATAGAAGTGAAAGAGCTATTGTGATGAACATTTATCAGTAAAAAATAAAGCAATACATCATCTACCTTCCTCTTTGCTGGTCTGTTACACTGGAAAAAAGTAATTTTTTTCTTAAAATAATTGCATTTGTTCTTGGATTGAGGAGGTAAAAAAGACATTTTGCCAATGGAACAAGACAATTTACACATAAAATAAGAAAACAAACGCATTGTCTAATTTAAGTGCATTTTGTCGAATTATCTTATTTTAAGAGTAAAAATACCCATTCCATTGGCAAACTATCTCATTTACCTCCTTAAATTAAGGGTAAATACTTAATTCTTAATTTAAGAAATTTTTACTTATTTCTAGATTGTTTATCTAGTGTACACAAAAGGTTTTTCTGGGATTGAAAAAAAAAATAGAAAAATGCAAACTGTGTGAATACTTCTGTTATGATTTGTATTTAACAATTTTTTTCATGAATGTCTTCACAAACTAATAGAACAACAAAACATTGTAAGTCAGTAAAACTGATTTTGTCCCCCTCCCAGCTGCAGACAGATT